TAATATTTAGAAGAAATAAAACCTTTTCTTTCTATTTTAACGTTGACCAAAGGTAAACACTCGCCAGTTTATGAGAAATATTTCTCCAATGCAACCGATAGGGTTTGAGCTGGATGAAAGACTCTGATGTAGATGTGTGTAAAAACATCGCGGTATCAAGATGTAAAACTATTCCTTTCTATGGGAGCGTTGGCTGAACTTGAACACATTTCAGCTTGTCACAAACATTGCTAGTGTGAAACTGACAGTTTTAAGTTGGAGGTAAAAATCAATGTTGTTTCACGAGAACCTCCCACTTTATTTATCCGTGATCAGTGAGACCTAGCTGAGACGTCGTGCGCCTGCCGTGTTGAACTCGGTCAGTCAGAAATTAAGTCCAGACGCCGTGCTTCTACCGTGCTTTCGTCGAGTCGACGAAAGCACGGCAGAAGCACGGCGTCTGGATTACACTTTTGAATTTCTTTACCCAGCATTCCTGGAAAGCTCTTTGAAAGCCAGATCTGTTCCATTATTGATGGTCATCTACAAGATTGTGGCCTCTTAAGTGAACACCAATGGGGCTTTAGAAAAGGTCTCTCCTCAGAGGACTTACTTCTCACCATGACAGAAAAGTGGAAGCTAGCTGTAGACAAAGGTCTAATTGTTGGGGCCATATTTATTGACTTTCAAAAAGCTTTTGATACCGTGTCGCACGAAATTCTATCCTTAGAGGTTAAAGTAGTTGGTATCTCTGGCCCATTACATCATTGGCTAATGAGCTATTTACTGGATAGATACAAATACACAGAAGTAAACAATCAGAGATCAGTCTCTCTTCCTCTTAAATTTGGTGTTTCTCAGGGATCCTTGCTTGGCCCAAGATTGTATCCTTACTGTTTAGACTAATGACCTTCCTGATCAAGTAGAAGATGGCTCCATTCTGATGTATGCTGACGATACCACAATTTACTCAATTGATCCAAATGTTGAACAAGTTATTTTATCTCCAAATGGCCTAGTGGCACAGATATCCAAGTGGAGCTCTTTAAACAAATTGACAATCCACCCTTCTAAAACCGAAGCTACGATAATGAAAAAGCAACAGTTTATTGGTCCTTTGTAGCCTTTTACATTTTGACATGGCTTTGTGAAGTTTGTCAATACTACAAACTCTCTAAGTGTTATGATTGACAACCAACTCTCTTGGCATGCTCAAGGGGACAGAGTTAATATTTCGTTTTCCAAAAAAGTTGGTGTTTTAAGGAGAATGTCATACTTACCTAAGCCGGTCAGTTCTAGAAGAAATATATTTTAAAAGAATTATTCCTAGTGTCGCCTATGGCATACTAGTGGGGAGAAATTGCTCCCAACCATTACTTAACAGCTTAGATTACACTCATGCCCAGGCATGTCGCAGAATTAAGCGCCTCCCTTCTTCATTAGAAAGTAGCGTATGTCTGTCTCGATTTGACTGGCTTCCTAGTTATTTTGTTTATAAGAGAAGTATATCACTTCAGATGTACCACTGAAATCTTCATAGGGTCTGCTCCTAGCCAAATGCTGGACCTGTTCTCTAAATCATTTATATCAACTAGATTCAGTAATCAGTTTATATTATTAGGGTAAAGTCTGAATTTGGAAGGAGTTCTTTTCAATACAGGGGTCCTAATATTTGGAATTTTATAAATAAGAAACTTAAACCATCGAATGTTAGTGAAGATGGGTTAAAAGTAATCTTAGGAAAGCTTTCCAAAGATATTCTCCAATTTTCATTTAACAAAGGCTATTACGATTTCAAATTAGAAGGATGATTTTATTTATTACTAAGTTATTATTAAGTTCATCAAAGCCTTATTTATTATATTATTTTACATAGCAGATCCATATCAGCTGATGTTATTTATTATTATTATTATGGTTTTACATATCAGATCCAAACGATGTTATTTGTTACTAAGTTATAATTAAGTTTATTATATTCTTTCTCATTATATTACTATTCTATATAGCAGGTCCACATCAGCCTGTGGCTGCCGATGCAATATTGTCTCCAGCAATATTGTAATTCTTAACCTACTTGAACAAATAAAGGATTGAAATTGAATTAAGTTCGGCAACCATGCAAGCTCTGTCGTGCTACACGACTCTGGTACAACAGCGATTTCAAAAGTCGTGCTTTCGCCGAACCAAAGAAAATTCATAAACCGTGCTACTGTGTTTTGCTGGGATTGCGTTCTTGCGGGAAGTTCCTAGAATGAAATTGTTGCTTTTCCTTTGTAAATTCTGAATTTCGTAAGACTCTAGCCTGATGGCTGAATCAAAGTCGTGTTTCTGCAGTGCTAAGGTCGAACCTGATTGTAATTAAGTTCGGCTCGGCAGAAGCACCCTTCAAATAATTTTTATCTTGCGGGTAAGTTCTGAACATCTACACGACTAGTATCGCTCTAGAGTATCGGTTGCAAATGAACATTGATAGAAAAGAAAAGGATAGGAAACTGGTATTATCTTTCATTCCGCTTAAAGTTAACGTTGACCTTACTTAAACGCATGTATATGATAGCTTATCCCAAATCTTGCTCCAGTGAGTCGAAGCTAAGAATCAATGACGGATGAAATTTTACGAGAGCCCCTCAAACTTTTTATCAAGGACAACAAAGTTGTCGAGAGAAACATGAAAGTACACGTTTCTCTCGAGGCAAAGTTGTGATGTCCATGAAATTGTTTTTTACTGAATTGAAGTAAGTTTTACCGTATTTTATACTGAACTATTACAGGATTACTCAAGATTACGAAGATTCGTATGATGCACGATCCTCGCAGTAGATAGCGCTATTTGAGCAATAGCGAAAATCAGACCTGAAAAAAATCAGGCCTGTACGGGATTCGAACCACTGACCTCCGCGATACTAGTGCAGCGCTCTTACAAATTGAGCTAACAAGCCAACTGGGAGCAGGCCGTTAAGTTGATTCGTAATAAACCCGTGAAAGTAAGGTTTCACGGGTTTATTACGAATCAACTTAACGGCCTGCTCCCAGTTGGCTTGTTAGCTCAATTTGTAAGAGCGCTGCACTAGTATCGCAGAGGTCAGTGGTTCGAATCCCGTACAGGCCTGATTTTTTTCAGGTCTGATTTTCGCTATTGCATAAATAGCGCTTTCTACTGCGAGGATCGTGCATCATACGTATCTAGTACCGCAGTTCAAAATATATGAACTTCATATATTTCATTGTACTGATTACGAAGATTATAATAGAGAGTGATTTTCATCTTTCCAATTTAAGTCTTAAATTTTTTGGTATCAGTAGAGTGAGACAACACACAAACATGGAAGAAATGTAAAAGCTGGAGATACATATAGCGTGTCTTATGTCTTAAGTAGTTTTACTGATTTAAGAATAATGAAGAACAATAAAGTACTCTTCTTTGAAATCGGTATGACTGTGCTTTTCCATACATTAACGTATACAATACATATTGCAATTTACTTCTACCTCAACTACTACCTCAACTACTACCACTACTACTACAACTCAGTCCTTATTAGTGGAATAGAGACAAGAGTGTGATAGTATGAAAGAAAGACTGATTAACCAAGGTGTGCTTTTCAAGATGCATCATACCTCCGTTGGATACATCATTAGACTCATTGGAAATCGGTCAGTGTACAACGCAGACTGCAGACAGCAGATTGGAGGTAAAATGCGGGGATGAAATGTCTGGGTAAAATGCAGACTGTAGAACAGAGGTAAAGTACAGACTTGGTTCCAAATGAATTAACAATTTATGACCGCGGTTGCTATGACTTTGAAGTAAACAGTTTCGTAAAGTTTCCAGTTGCGCCAGAATATTGCTGATCATTCGAAACGCCTGTTGATACATATTACAGTTCATGTTCTATGTGTTTGTCAACGCGTTGATTGAAACCTTTAGTTGAAATTAATGGACATTTCTGGTTTCTCTAAATGATTAAACTTAAAAGGAACTTGAGACTTCTACTTGCTTTTGATTATTCTCAGTTTGCGGCAAACAAAAAGCCCCACGTAGGTTAAGTTGCACATGAAAGCCACAGATTTACCTCGGGTTATTACTAAAGTGAGAACCCTTATCTCGCTCCCACAAATTTGCTTTGAATTGCAGACTGAATACTGCAGACTAGGGATAAAATGCAGACTCGGTTCTAAAACAACCCGCTTCCCCCGAAAAATTCAAGAGTGAGCTAAGATCGAAGCTGCGTAACAATCGTCGTGGGAATAATCGTAACAGCGATTGATGTTTCCAACCTTACTTCCCCACATGGTTTTGGCGTTAACGTATTGTTTTAAGGTAAAAACGATTAGAAACCTAAGTGTTTGAATATGCAGTTCACAGCCAGCTAAATACATTTTCCTTGTTGAGGAGTAAACACGGTTCTGCTGCATGAGCAACATTACGTAGCTGGACATACATGTAGTTCATGTATACTTTGTTCGGCCTTGGAAGTAGTAGCGATCGACTTATCACAGAACGGCAATTCCGATTTCTTGAGTAATAAAACCTGTTTCTAGTACTTTGCTTTTCGATGTGAAGTTAGGCATGCAAATGCTTTTGATTTAATCCCGATCTGGAGTCTGCAGTATGCAGTTTTCGTTTTACACTGACCGCATTGTGAATACCGTCAGCAATCGACAAAATTCATTCTTTACCTTGAACGTCTTGAACTTTTGATCAGGTTTCTCGTTTATGCTGTGAATTTATTTTATTATGAAACGCTGTAATGACTAGTATGATAATATCTATAGGGAGCAATGGAAAAGCCACACGAAGGCATAGCTGTGAAGCGATGTGTGATATTTATTGTGATGTAGTTCTGGCTAAAGAATTTTTAAATTGCTTATGAACAAGAGAAACGTACGGCTTTCTTATTTTTATGTTGCTTAAAGCCTACAGTTATGTTTGCGTAGCTGGTTTGAATGAGAAGATCATATTTTCCTGGAACAGCTTACCTACAAACTAAAATAAAATGACACAAAGTTGAACTTACCTTCAGTCAAGCAAGATCGCCGCTGCGTTTCATCGCGTAAATTGGCCAATATCAACTCTAATCCAAGAGCTAAAGTGCTTGTGCACTGAAAAACCCCACACCTGTAAGATCACATTAGTTTCTTAATCACCCTCACCTTCCTTCACCTTCTTCGCAACACTGGTGCATATATAGTATGGCACGCGGTGCGCAGCCTGGGTACCAGATTAGGAAAAAGCACATGCGCTCTCCCTCTTCGTTTCATCACTTGTTTCGGCCGTCCACGATGTTGTCTTTTATCCGCGTTTAGAGTTATTTTTTCCTGCCCTCTGCAGTCAAACTGTCGAGGATGAATTAAAAAAACATCGAGTAATGTAAATGTTTTTTCTTCTGTGAGTTTACCGTTCGACTTCTTAGTATTGCAGGAGATATTCGCGATCGAAGGTAAGAGTCATTGACCGCTTTCTGTTGTCTCTAGGCTGCCACCTCATCGTCCGACCCGATCCATTTGGCGGGCAGCAGCGAAGACCTGCCAAATCTTCAGAAGTTACAGACAGATGCTGTTGCAAAAACAGTGCCAGCAATCTTGAAAGGCCTCTTCGCCACCCCAACCTTGCCAAAACAAAATAATCCAGCGGACTATGATTCTGATTATGATATGAAGGCTGGAATGAAGGAAGATATTAAGAAACAACTCGGTTACACGAAAACTAAGGAGGTGTCTTTGTTTGATGAAGGCCTTTCTGAGCGCCACTCTGCCTTTATAGTTGTTGCAAGACCCATTCTAGCAGCCCTGTCAGCACTGGATGGTGTAGGAGGAGATATTGAGAGCGATAATGTTGACCCCGACTCAATAATGCTCTTGTTTTACTCGGCAATGCCAACTTCAGGCTAAATGCCTGGAGGTAGAAATGGTTTTCTGAGTTTCTCACATAATTGGGCGAACATACTCTCTGTGAGGGTACCCTTGCTGAATTACACCTCTTCGCGGATAAATTTTATGCCAAGATAAAGAGTGAGCACTACCACGACCATAGATCGACCAACAGCAAACTGATCAGTACTCCACCAGCAAAGCGCCAGTTCAAACAACCCTCCAAGGAGGATCAACCCTTTCGTTCCGATTACTGTTCCAACAACAACAGCAGAGTTGGAGGAAAACGAAAATGGGGATTTGGCTCAAAATCTAACCACCAATCCTATAAGCATAGTAACATAGAAGAATTCTCCTCTAAGCTTGCTTGCGGCCGGACCATTTAAGCTGACTATCCGCTGCCTGTCCTAGAAACACTCAATCCACCCACCGACGAATCAGCCGCTCGTTTACTGTAATTTGCTCAAAAGTGGAATGAAATAACACAGGATTCATGGACATTACAGACAATTCTGGAGTACAAGATCCCCTTTTGAAAGCGCCCCAGGCAGTGGTGTGTAAGGATTACCCGTACCAAAAGCTATACTGACGCTCAACAAATGGACCTGGCCATTCCAAATTGGTTGGCGAAAGGAGCAGGGAAGGAGGTCCGAGCACAAGAGGACCACTTTAAATCAATCTTATTTCTGGTACAAAAAGAAAATGACGAGTTTCGCCCAAATCGTTTCCTTGGAAAATATCCCTTCAAAATGGAATGAGGTTTCTTGTACGTCTGCTCCTCGGGACTTTACAAGAGCTCTGAAACCAGTGTTGACAATGTTGCGATGTCTGTGAATCCGCATTGTAATTTACATCGACGACATGTTGTTACTTCACCAACACAGCAGGGGGCTGGAAAAACTGTGTGCGTATGTGGTAGCTTTCCTAAAAAAATTGAAGTTATTTCGTTACCCCGACCGACGCAGCCCCTAACAGTTTCTTTAGAAACTATCAGCCTTTATTCATTTAAGTGAAAATGAGTTGTACATCTCAGTCGTTGTTTATCACAAATATTTACCAAGCAAAGTCAACCGCTGGTAGCACTCGCTAAGGCCCCATTTACGTGGTCTCGGGTACCGAGAGAACCCTCCCCCCGAGTTACCCTGGGCAAGCTAACTCTTCACTTAAATGATAAAGGGTGAAAGTTTCTTAAGAAACTGTGATGCTACTTCGGTGGGGGTAACAAGGTAATTTGGTGATATCAACTAGGTTGAAATTGTAAATTGGCCACCGTAACGAGTTACAAAGCTGACTTTCGAGCGTTAGCCCCTCGTCTTCGCTCTGACGAACTAACTTTTTAGTTTCTTCTTTAAAAAATTCAGCCGCCCGTCTACATGAGGTTGTGAACTCGTCTCGGGTGAGCGAGACAACTTTGGGGGGGGGGTTGTCTCACCTCGGCAGGTAGGATAACCCTGGTAGGAGGAACAACTTTTCCTCATGAAAACACCTTTTCTCGCCTACCCGAGACGAGACAACTCAAACAGAAAATGCGTGCGAACGCTGTAACCAGAGCACGTGCGTATTACAACTATCCTTTTCCTGTCGTACGCCACTTTGTCGAATATATAAACTGGCCTGGCCGAACGAGAGTTAGCAGATGTCAAATTTCTGATAAACGCTCCGTAGACTTGTCTACGGAGAAGGGTTGTCTCGGGGTAGGGGAAGGGTTGTCTCGGGTACCCGAGACCATGTAAATGGGGCCTAAGACTGTAACAAATCTGCCGCGCACGTATGAAAGATGACAGAACCAAGTACTATCGCAAAGGTCTGTGGTAACAACACTGTGCCCAGGTTCTTGCCGGCCACTCAATTTACTTCGTCATGCTAAGGGCTGGGTAAAATTTAAAAAAATATTATCTCCCTGTTTCATTGGTTGGTTGGTAACCGTGAAAACGAGGGAACGGTTAAGGGGAGGAAAAACGAAGAAATAGAAGAAAGAAAGAACTAACAAACGAGATAATAAAAAGTGGGAAGCAAGAGGCAGAAATGGAAAGCGGAAGAAAAGATGGAACTCAGAGGACAAGAGCAGAGAACAAAGGGACAAGAAGGCAGCACAGGATAATAGAGGAATAAAGAAACAGAAAAACAGGAGAAAGTGGTGTAAAGAGAAGGGTGGAACTAGAAATACAAGTCAAATGAAGACAGTCCGCCCGTTTCCGAGAGAGCTTCAAAATTCTTCTTATCATATAAAAATTTTGGCAAAAACATGGCGAAATGGAGTTTTCTTACAAATTGCTCACACTACACAAAGGTTAACAGCTACAGTCTTTGCCGAGGAAATCAATGAAAGTTTATTAGAACCGGTTTATAAAATGTTAAAATACACGAACTGAATCCAAGGTAGACCCTCTAAACATGGCGGAAAGCAGCTAATTAACTGTGAACAGTGTTTTCTTTATATACGATTAACCAATGTAAAAGTGTTTTAATTTGTAAATCTGATTTTAGAGCTTGAACAAAGTTTTAGTGCCCAGGCTTAACGCTTCAACTCTGCTAGGGGTGATGTCAAGAGGTGACGGCACAAGTACGTTACCATGCAACTAGTCATAAACAATCGAGACTTTGTTTCGCATCCAGAGCTCCGTTCTTGCCGAAGTAAAGTGAAAGAGAATGGATTTTCCATGTTTATTGAATAGTTCGAATGAAGATAATTACAAAATGAACAAAGATGTTTCAGATGACAAAGAGTCCGTGAAGAAATCCTGTTCTGCGAGAATATTTGATAAAGAAGTGAATGTCACTAATCGTTCCGCTGAAAGTTGTCATGAGCCTCTGGAGGCCTTGCACGGGGCACGGATTATGGCCACTGAAGTAAGAGTTTGTCAATCACAAAACCTTTTTTTTCGTTAGAAATAATAAGTGTAATACAATTAAGTTAGATTTTTTTATCGGAAGGGGCCTGACGAGAAAAGCTTAAGTTATTTTTCGCAAACGCCGCCATGCAACTAGACCCCATTCAATCTATGAAAATAGGTCGTAACTGATTCAATCAAAATCAATTTGGATTTTAAATTAGCTCAGTTTTTGGTCCGTTCAACATTGGATAAACATTTAACGCAATTGGAATTTTTTTGCCATTAATGTTATTCAGGTAACTGATTTTGAAGACATTTCTTCATGAAGAGACTGAAAAGCGCGCGCACCTAAAATTCTTAGATTATGACGCCACTAAACATTCCAGTAGTTTTCTGCTGTAAGCGAGAGAATATCATTTATATTCTCTTGGCTGTAAGTTGATGTTCTGTGTTCCCAATTTTCTTGTTCACTTCTAATTTAGTTTAAAAAATGATCTTCTTGACATACTTTCTTTCAGTCTGCAAGAGAAAAGGAACAACTAACAATTGAAAAGATCACTCATCTTGAAACAGTTATTAACGGTTAGTTTTATGTGGTGACGCATGTGGAATGAGAGAGGCCGGGTGCACGCGGACTGGGAAGCCATTTAAGATCCCCACTTCCTCCCCGCCGCTTCTCGTTCCGTCCGAAACAGTTCTGCTTTTCGCTCTGTTTTCCTGATTTCCCTTATCATTCCAAACTTGAATTTGATTTACCTTTTATTTCAAGTATTTCAATCAATCAATCAATCAATCAATCAATCAATACTTTATTTACACACGTAGCGTCAAGGAGCTCATAGAGCTCGTATAAGTATTTATAATTTTCAATTGTATTTCAACAGCTAAAGGGAAGGAAATCGTCTTTCTTAAAGAAACTCTCTTTCGGAAAGATAAAGAGATTTCTGATCTCAAAGAAAAACTGTCTCAGCTACAACAAAGCTGTCAAAGAAATCAGTTTGCTGCTGCTCAGCAAATGGCGACAATGGTTGAAAAGCTACAGGAGGCGAGGAAGAATATTGACGAGCTCAAGGGTGGAAAAAATTTCAATGTCATGAAGAATAAAACAAAAGTAGAAGAATCTCAAAGCGGGCTACAATTCTTTAATGGTGAGTATGTTACGTAGAATGGCATTCAGGGCCACTAGGTAGATACGCCCGCTGCATTTTCATTACCACTAGGTGTGATTATGTTCATTCTCCAAGCATGCACAGAGGAACATGGTTGGGAAGAGGACGATTGAGTGGTCTTCTTTATCGCTCGCTGTAAATAAAACAATCTTTTCGTAATTCGGGGACGATGAAATAATCACTTTAGAGAAATGATAAACCTCTTGCTCAAAATCGTAGTTTACAACATTGGCGAAGTCACCATTTAGGGGCCTGATTAAAAAGACCTACCACACCTCACAAAAAATACCATCTTCCATCCTCAAGACAAGGAGAGGCACTTTACACAAACAACTTGCGAGTATTCGGTAACGCATTCTTCCATAAAAAAATTTTCAAATTTTGTTTTGATCAGGCAAAGCTTACTTTGACCATCAACCCTCATGGTTTGACACTCTATCAAACAACAGTGGATGTCTCGAAGTTGAAAACTTTCCAGTATCAGCAAAAGATCTTGAGGCTTTGAAATCAAATTCAAAGCCCTCCACCGAAGCAGTTAAAGGTATGAAGAAAGAAAATTGTAAAGTATTATCGCACCCATTCAACGATCCAAATCTGTGCGAGAGCAATGCAGTCTGATGATCAACGCTACAGGGAAACACTATGATGTGTCAATGTATCATTCCGCAATAGGATCGTTGTTTAGTCCCTGCCTGAATCAAATTCATAGAGGTATCCAATTAACTTACTATTCTTTGGTAAAATGACATTTTGGTGAGTAAACCTCATCAATACTCTATTACCTTTGAAAACATAGGAAAAACGCACGACGATGAAAGTTTGTATTTCGTTTTTGAAGTCTGAAAAATGATTGAAATAAAACTTACTATTGCATTTTTTCATTTCATTTTACCAAAGATTGTGGTGGGTTGAAATGTCGACTTCCACGCGCCCCTGAGGACGGCTTTGTCCGAGTTGAAATGAAAAAAGAAAATTCACTACTCCCAAGAGGAGAGGAATCAAAGATGATCACCGGATTCGTTGGCCAGAGGATCAACTCGTTTTCTAAGAAGGCAAAACGTTTAGAACGACCAGCACAAAGTCCTGTGGATACATTTGAGAGACCTGAAGTCGACAACAGCAGCCCACCAGTAAAATCGAGCCATGCTGTATTTCATAATACCACTCAGTCCTATGGCGAGCGGATTAATCCAGTTCAACTCAGTGGTGTTCGATCTGAGATCACAGATTCCTCTGGTAACAGGGTGAATCCCTTTTCCAAAAGAGCTATAGGCATTACAGAACCATCACATATCCCTACGGCCAGATTTGTTGAAGCTCAAACTGTCAGAAACAGTGCGACAATTTTCTCGAACGATGCTGTATTCAAGAATACAGTATTCAATATCACCACTCAGTCCTCTGGAGGGCGGATCAATCCGTTTTCCAAGAAAGCTAAGGCTCTGGAACGACCAATACCTGATTGTACTGCCGCCAACATTGAAGGAACTGAAGTTGAGAAAATCACCCCACCAGTTCAACCCAAAGGTGTTCCATCCAACAATATCACAGATTCTTCTGGTAACGAGGTGAATTCCTTTTCCAAGAGAACTAAAGGCATTACAAGACCACCACCTGAAGTCGACTTTGCTAAAGTTCAAACTGTGAGAAATAGTCCGGCAGTTCTCTCAAATGATGCTGCATTCAAAATCACTGCCTCGTCCTGTGAGATCAATCCGTTTTCCAAGAAAGCCAAAGGTGTGATCAGTCGAACGTTATATGATAAGGGCTGATAGATTCTAAAGAAACTATTAGGGGCTGCGTCGGTGGGGGTAACGAAATAATTTGGATATATCAACAAAGTTGAAATGGTAAATTGGCCACCGTAACGATTACAAAAGCTGGCGTTTCGAGCGTTAGCCCTTCGTCGGAGCATCATAATTCTGAAAGCAACTTACACTGACAAGTAAGCTTCCTCAAATAAAGCTCGAGGCTCACGTTCGAGAGCAAGGACAAGGTTTGCACATTCTGAAAATTCGAGCCTTGGACCATTCAGTTTTGGTCTGGAGAGCTAAAAAGTTTAGAGATATCTTTATACATTAAGTAAATTTTCTGCTAAGGTCACAGATGTGTATCGACATAGTTTAAAATGTAGCTCCATTAGGAATATCACAAGGACAAATAGGTTCGATTTCTTGGATGCAAGCTTCGTCTCTGCGGTCAGTCCCATCAGATCACTTCAGGGAAGGGGCGCGGGCTCATTTCGCGAACAGCGGTTAGCCACCGATTCAAAAGGAGCGGTGTCTTTACAAACTTAATACGCTTCTCTAGTGAATGAGATCTAAAACAGAATTTAATCGGTAAGGTAAGGTTTGTTAACCCATCTTTAACTGTGTAGGTAGTCCATATTCTCAGCATCGCCCAATACCGTCTATGAGCATCGTTCCAGGCGGATCTCATGTCGTTTCTATTTCCCCGCAGACTTATCAGTGCAAAAGTCAAACTGCTCAACAAATTGGTAAGTTGCTCAATACGAATACACACCTTGAGTGTCCTGTTAGAAGCAAGGGGGCTAAAATAACTAACAAAGGGGTTTCTCGTAGCCAATATAAACAGAGGGTGGATTACACCAAAAGGGCTTATTATTAGGATGGCAAGGGAGGGAGGGAGGGGTTGGTAGGGACAGGGGTTCTTCATTAGCGAGGGTGTGTGTGGTGTTATTTCAACCTAAATTAGTTAATCTAATTCTCTGTCCTTTCTGGTAAATAAGCGATTATTCACCAGGTCTTGACCGTTCATTGTTTTTCAGGACAAGGATTCTTGAGCAGAACTTTCAACAAATGGTTTGGATCATACTATTAAAATGTAATAAAGTAAGCAAAACATTTCCTGAGAAAAGCCGTCAAAATTTTCTAACTGTAACAATAACACAAGCCTTTACTCTACCTTTGCTGCTTTACTTTCGCCTGAGATTAGTAAATTGACACTGGCGCTCTTTATATTCTACAGATTTCAAATGCAATCGAGTCAAGTTCAGTTCATTCTATACAAGATTGATGCTCAAGATGTAGGTTGTCTGCTGCGTTGAATTTGTTTTAAAAGATATCATCGTTACAAAACTGTTATTATGTAATCAACTATGTTTGAATGCGAGATATTGAACCCAAGAAGATCCTTTTCTAAACATTTATGTAAATATGTTAATAAGTAATTGCACAGGACATATGCGCAGTTCATTATTTTTAATTGTATATTTTTTTCTTTTGGGGAGGGGGAGTTGCAAATTTGGAAAATTTTCGTCAAAAATTATTTGTATCAGTTATTTGTACATATGACTACAATAGTCGAAATCAAAAATAAATATGTACTTTGTTCATTCCAGTTTATTTATCTGTATTATAGATATTACATTTATCTATTTATCTGTATTCGTTTGCATGGTTTAACCATGTACGCAGAGTATGCTTGCTTTGTTGTGCTTATTTTAGACCTAATCCAAATGATATAGTCGATACCTTAGAGCTACAATCATTTACGCAAGGAGAAACGAGATCACGAAGTTGTAATAACTGCCCTCACACCTTATGTTGCTCAATGGAAGTTGTCAAATGAAATCAATCTCGTGTTAGTAACTGTTGAATACACTGCGTCGATCCCTTTGCAGAATAACGCGATCCTGGATATCTTGCTAAGAATGTCAGGGTAGAGGGTGTGGCAGCTTAAGAAACTAGGGCCAAGAGGACTTTTAAGGAACCATTTTACTCATTTTGTTGAAGAGTTTAGATCCATTTAGGTGTTGTCGGAGACTGCTGAATCACTTTTGAGCATAGCAATTCTCTAAACTACTCAATTTTTAGTTCCTGAAATCCAGGTACGTCGCTTTACATAGGACCACAACGAATAACATTGGACACACAGGAAAAAGGAAAACTTGCTGATGGCGGTTCGAGCAAAGCAAACTTCAGACATTCCTTTAGCATAGCGAGAATTTTATTCTAACGAAACATTTCAACAGAAGTTTAATCTAGTTTACTAAAAACAAATAATACTCGCAGTGTTATAATATGTTAGCTTCGCTCGCTACTTTTCCACGCAATATTTCAGAGACTTATTCGTTACTCCATGAGCCACCTTCCGCATGTCAGGCGCCATTTTCTTCACCTTTGTTCAGCGCTTTTCTGAGTCGGCTGTGTTCACGAAGCCTTAAAGAAGACAGAAAAACGATCAAAGCCTCAGTTAGGTATTGCATTCATCTTCAACTACCCGCGGAATGACAGTGATACCTTGAGGGCGTTATACTCTTGATATGAAAAAAGAGCTTTAGTAAGCCTTTTAATTTATTCTGATTCAAACCCTCCAGCTATCCGCCTTTATTAAGACACCTGTACCATAGTGAAGAGGGCCAACTACAGTAAATGCTCTCCGTCTTTTACGTAAACGGTAGAAGACAGAGGTAACTGTGTGAGTGCGTTTCTTGTCACGAAGCGGAAACCTTACCATAATGGTTTAGTTGGCCCAGTGTACATGATAACTACTTTATGAGCGCATTTCGACGGAACATCTTAAGGTGGCTGAACACAGTTTTTGATACCTGTGTTTCTTTCACCATTTTCTCTAAAACCCTTGATCTCTCGGTCGCCAAAACTGGCAGCAAGCAAGTTAACAACACAAACTTTGTTTTTTGGATAGTTAAGCTGACGTATGTGCCGTTGTCATGGCGACATGAATAAATATAAACAGGCCTTTAAAATCGGTTTTGTT